CTGCTTTGTTCAAATGTCTGTCAGGGTTTAAAAGCAAAGATGGTGTGACAGGGATGGTTAAAGCCTACCTGGATAAGAAGATACAGTTGGATGAGTTCATCACTCACAACATGACTTTGGACCAAGTCAATGATGCAATTGAGCTGATGAAGCACAGCAAATGGTATATTTTTCTTACATAAAAAAAAAAAATAAATGGGTGCATTTTGAATAGGTGAAACTCTACTAATGTTTTTTTCCCATTTATTTCCCCCACAGCGTCCGGGCTGTCATGCATGTTTCACCATGATGAGACTCAAAAACCACTACAGTTATCCAAACGTTGTGCATGGAATAGAGCAGAGCATCAAAAATCTGAAGTGTGATTAAAAACTAAAACTGACATGTTTATGAAATAAAAATAAACATTTAGGCAAAAGGTTCTTGGACTTCTTTGTTTTCAGTACTAATATAGTTTACATCTACAACAATATCTGCCATTGCCCCTATGCTTTAATAAATTGTTTCTAAAGTTAATATTAGACCTTTATTTATACAAGTTAGTTCCCATTGAGCCTCAAAAACTCATTTTTACAATAAAGTGTCCATCTGTTTAGTTTTTACAGGCCTAATTATATGTTTTTGATTTAGTGGGAATTCAGTTTCAGTTTTGCCAGAACTCCTGAGTACTTTTATTTTCCTTCAGAGTTTTTCTCTCTGAGAATCAGTGACAATTATTAAAACCTGTTATGATCTGACTGAGCTGGAGAAAAGTTTCTGTCATAATAGACTTAATATCTAAAACGATGTTAAATTCACACCAGTTGTATTTGGGCCATCATAAGGCACAGGATAAAACAGTGTGTTATCAGCATAGCTATGAAGTTTGATGGTGTGTGTAGCATATATGAGTGAATGGATGAAGATAGGTGACACTTGCTCCTCACTTTACTACACTTTTATTATTTGTGTTGCACTCACTGAAGCAGGGCACCAGCCAGTCAGTTTATTGACCAGCATAAACTTTATTAAAGTATTCACCCTTTAATTAGCAGTGCTCAGTCACTGAAATAGTATTTGTTAACTACAAAAGATAACTACCAAAATAATTCCTACAGGGCAAAAATTATTATTTGAGCAGGAATTATTTTGGTTTTATATGCACACAAATTTAGTCAAAGTTTAACTGAATTTGGTTGAGAGATGTTATTTAATGTGACCAGATCAAGTCATTTATCACTGCAAGCCAGGAAATGATTTATCAAGTTGCATCAGCTAAAATAATCAAAATAACCAGACCCAAAGGTGCATTCAAGTCACCAGGTTTCTGCTCCTTACAAGGTCAATGTTGGGAGCTCAAGTTCATGCATCTTTCCGTGGGGTTGCTGGTGGATCAGACCAGGATATACTATGAGGAGAGGACCCGGCACTGCCCAAGGTAGCTGAAAGTCACTGTAACTGCTTCAGGGCAAGTGTAGAAGCAACTGATGAGAAGGTGTGTGGGCAATCCACAACCTTCAGCCAGCTTACACTTCAAGCCAAAAACATGACTCTTGCAGTGAGAAAAACAATGTTTCATGTTTGGTAGTTACTTGAAACTTCAACTTTGCTTCTAACCAAAATTATAGCTGAGCAAACATGTATCTTTACTCAGAAAAAAAACAAGTCGGACATCAGACAAACAAATCAGGATAGAGAAAAACAAAGATCTTCTCAGAATGGGGAAAAACAAAGAACTGCCAAGTTTCATACAAATAAACTGTGTACCATCAGCTCTCAAAAGTTTTTTTTGGCAAACTTTAGAATATTATGACTCCCCTCAGAAGTAAACCGATTTCGGTCACTTGCACACAGGTGTCTCTCAAGGAAAAGTTCATTTCTGAAAAACAGAACAGAGAAGTATGTTAAAAGACATTACAATATTTCACAGGATTTCGTTATAATGATTAAAAACAATAATCAATATTATACATATTCACACATGTCATTTTCAAATAAAACAAATTGAATTAATGGTTTACTTTTCTTTTATAAAAGCCCAAAGTAAAATTTAAACAATAGACAGACTGTAGCTGACTCTGAGTCCAAGGACAGTGAATGTGTGAAAACATCAGACATTATTCAAGTCAGACGTAACTTTAAAGAAAACAGTTCATGGTGAGTCTGTCAGAAAACCCAAGGGTCAGAAGTCATAATAAAGGGAGTGTATCTTCATGCTACATGTGTCTGTGGATGACTTGCCTGGTAGCATGTACTGTATAAACCAAAAAATGAAGGACCACAAACTGATCCCTGTGGAACTCCATATTTAGTTGTGTAATGTTTAGATGAATATTTACCTATAGGATATTATAGCTTTAAATCATACCTTAAATGGCTTCTGATTTAAGGTATGATATAAAGCTACTTAAGGACAGTTCGAGAGATACCAATCAGTCCAAACCTGTCAACAATAATGGTGTGGTTGAATGTGTTGAATGCCAAGCTTAGATCTGATAATGCATTACTTAAAGTTTGTTCAAATCCTGTTGTGTCTGAAGTAATTTACAATCTAAATCAATGCTGTCTGTGTAATATGAATAAATCTAAAAACAGATTTGTCTAGAACCCATCCATGTAACAATAAATTTAAATACGATCACAACTCCCTAGACTGCTTAATTTATTATAATAACAATTGTGTGGGGGGGTGTTTATGTGCAAGTATGTTTCTTTCGGCTGCTCCCTTCTTTAGGGGATGCCACAGCGAACAAATTCGCATGAAAGAGTTGACAATTGACAGCAATGTTTTTAACACAATTAAAGAATTGGTGTAACTCGGGGGAGTGGTGGCTCAGAGGTTAGAGAAGGTGGACCTGTGATCAAAAGGTCGCTAGCTTGACTCCCCAAACTGACAACATCAAAAATGTGGGTGGGAAAGATGAAACACCCACACCTGTCACCACCCTCATTTGTCCACACCCTGGGCCCTTGAGCGAGGCCCCAAACCCCCACCATCTGCTCCGTGCTCCACACAGAGGGCTGTGGTAGCTCAGTGGTCTGTAGTTACGTCAGGAAGGACATCCAGCGTAAAAACATTTATCGAGTTAGTACGCTGTGGTGACTCTTGAAGAAGGGAGCAGCCAAAAGAAGAAGGAAAAAAAATAGAATTGGAGTAACTTGTTTCAACATAAAAAATGTGTTTTACATGGTACAGTTTAAATTGTGCTACATTTTTATTTTTTTGTGAATATTATAATCATTTTAAAGTCAGTTAACTGAATACAAACAAGTTCCTCTAAATCTTCACATGAAACCGTCAGTAAAGTCCTCATTCTGAAGAAAGTAAACTATTGGGCATATCCTATATGAAATAATTGGTGGGAGCAGTTTTAATGAGTCTGTCAAAGACTGAAAACAGGTTCTGTGAGTTGTTCTTTTTATGTCATGTAAGACTGAATAACAACAGTATTATCTTAACGTTTTACTACCTTAATCAGCTTGTTATGAAAAACTTTGTACTTCACTTTAAATTCATTTATCATTTCTTTACTTTCTGTTTCACATCAATTTAAACAAATAATTAGTTATATTATTTTGTAAAGGTATCTTGGAATAAGTGGTAAATGTTTTAATGGAGCCACAGAATTGTATGTCACAGTACATCTTAAGGGGTATAAAACAATTGATATTAAAAGAAATACACTATTATTATTAATAATTACAACTACTCCCTCAGAACGGGAGTCCCTCAGGGCCGTGTGCTGAGCCCCCTATTCTATGCCCTACACACATGTCTGCACCCCTGCTCACCAAAGCAACACCATAGTCAAATTTGCAGATGACACCACAGTGGGGCTCATTAGTGGGGGGGATAAGTCTGCCTACCTTGACGGTAGGGAGGGATGGTAACAGACTTCTTGGTGCAGGGAAAACAATCTGCTCCTCACACGTCAAAGACTAAGGAGCTGATCATCAACTTCAGGAAATAGAAAATGGCGGTCCCACCCCTGATTATAAACGGAGACGGTGTGGAGAGTGTAGTGGACTACCGTTTCCTGGGACTCCATATTGAGGGGAATCAGCCCTGGAGTGTGAACACCTCCGAGTTCCTGAAAAAGGCCCCACAGAGACTGTACTTCCTGAGAGTGCTCAGGAGGAACATCACCCCGAGACTGCTGGTGTCTTTCTACTGATGTACCATAGAGGTCATCTTAACATACTGCATCACAGTGTGGTATCTTAGCTGCACAGTGGTGCAGAGGATAGCAGTCCAGAGATAACACCGCCCAGAAGACTGTGGAATGCCCTCTTCTCTCTGAAAGATCTACATTGTTCCCACTGAATAGAAAAAGGCCACAACATCTTAAAGGACATGTCTTACCCCGGACATAATCTGTTTGAACTGTTACCATAAGAGAAAAGGTACAGATCAATCAAGACAAGAACAAACATTTAAAACCGTTTTTATATCCATCAGCTGTTACTGAACTTAACAAAAGCTGTAACAAGAACTGAATAAGTGCAATAAGGGACAACTAGTGTAATATCAATCTGCTTGTGTTGCACATTTGTAGTGTTTAAAATCTAGTCTTTTGAATATGATGCCACAAACTTAGCACTGTACATACAGTATATATTCCTGTTTTTAGTGTATTTCCTCCCTGTCTCGTTGGCCTTCTGTTTCTGTCTTATTTATTTAGCTGCAAGCCCTGCTCTTTCATTTACTAATGTAGGTTTAGTTCCCCGCTTAGCTCTTCTGCTGTTAAGTTTGAATTTTGGGTACTTGTTTTTTTTTTTTCATTATTATGTTCTTCATCTCTTGAGCACAGAAAGACATTTTAAACAAATTAAGCAGCCTTGAGGCTCCAATGAGATGTTTTCTGTGTTGGTTTTATGAGCAAATGCATGTGGTTTTGTAAAATGAGATGCTCTACATGGCTTTTCTCAGTCCACTTTGGCCATGCATACTTTAAAGTGTAAAGTGATGCAGGTGAGAACTTGTTAGGGAACTAAACAGCCTGAGGTGGAAGTCCACTCCCATTTCAGTGGTTGTCTATCAAAGAGTTCTTTCTTTTCTTTCTCCCATTTTGCTGCAGAAGGCTTCATTTCTTTACTCTCCTCTAGGTTGTGATCAAGTGTTTTAGTGTAAAAATGGCTACAGCTGGAAAGGTAAGAACAACTACACATCTGTGCACTTATTTTGCCACAAACGTTTGGCTCTGCATTGTGTGAAATATTGTATTTTTGCAGAATTTAACTAAGCCCAGTTATAAGGAGAACATTTTTTGCAGGAAAATGTTAAAAGTTGCACAACTGCTTTAAGTTGTAAGCTATTTATCTCTGATTGACTTGCTGTGCCCCCTCCCACCTCCCCATGCACAAATATTTCCTGAATGTTTTCTCTAAGCTGCTGTTTGTAACATTCGGGAAGAACATCTACTATAATTCAGTCCATGCTAATCTGTTTACACAATTTAAAACAAATGACTCCAGCCAATAAACTATTGCAGCAATAACATTCTGTTTTCCCAAAAGACGGACTCTATTGCTTTTTGTTTTTTATTTTTTACTACACAAGCCTATTAGAAGCAATACAACTTTCTGCTGTTATGCATTAAAATAACTTAAGCCAGCATATTTTAATCAGTTATTTTTTACTATTAGGCATGAGTATATCCACAACTTCTCACAGTCAGAACCTACCATCCTGCACACCTGATTTAAATTATTAAATTATCTCCTCGGCTTGTTGTGTTCTGTAGAAACCTAATTACCATTTAATTTAAATAAGCTCAAAGGATGGAAAACACTTAAAACACAAAGTGTGTTGCGTTTCAATGAGCAGAGTTGGGTAAGTTTGTTGTTTGAATGAAAAAAATAAAAATAAACTTTTGTTGTCACTGATTTCTTTCATCGTCTCCTTTTTCATTGTCAGCATCCTTTCAGTGTTTTTGTTGGAATGTGTAAAAGAAGAAAAAAAAATCCATAAAAGTGTGGAATGGGTCAGAGTTTTCAACTGAAAAACAACCCTTACTGTAATCCCCAGGGTTGAGGTGTATTTGACTCAAAACAAGTCATTCAGATTATCTGGGTGTGTTGAAGACAATTAAAAAAGGTCAAGATGTAGTGAAAGGTGGATTGGAACACAAAGAACATTGTTCTGGACGGTTGTGATGAAGGAGGAGCTGGGCTGAAAAGGGAAAGTTCTCATTTTACTGGTTCATCTGTATTCCAGTCCACTCCTATGGTCATGAACTGTAGCTTATGACAGAAAGAACAAGACCCTGAATGCACGAGGCTAAAATGAGCTTCTTCTGTAGTGTGGCTGGACTCGATCTTAGAGATAAAGTGAGGAGCTCCATCTTCCAAGGGTAGCTCAGAGTATAGCCGCTGATGTTCCACATCAAAAGGAGCCAGCTGAGAGGGTTTAGATCTATAAAACATGAGTGCCTCTTCCTCAAGGTTTTCAGGTACATCCCACTGAGAGGAGACCCCGCTGGGCAGATCCATACCTTAAAGGTTTGATTATATATTTGGGAACACTTTGAGTTTTCCCAGGAAGAGATGGGAACATACTGTACATTTCCCCTCATGAACAGTTAAGGACAAGTGGAAGAAAATAGATTTAAAAGGTAAATCCCGATAATTATGTTAACTAGTGTGCTTGATCCTGTAAGCCTGTTCTGGGAAAAGAAAACCTGGCATAAAACACTTAATGTCCCTGTACTTCTCTTTAGGTAATTAAATGTAAAGCAGCAGTGGCCTGGGAGCCCAACAAGCCTCTGGTGATTGAAGAGATCGAAGTGGCCCCACCAGAAGACAACGAGGTCCGCATTAAAGTAAGAAAGGCCGACCTCCAAGATCTGCCAGTGCACATGCAATTTTCTCACATTATTTTGAAATGATCAAATAAAACCAATACAAGACAAATTTCCTTGAAATGGGAAACATCCGGTACTGTAAAAATGTTTCTAAGTTCCTTTTCCAAATCATCTCTGTTTTTATTCCCTGGTTGCTGCATAGATTGTATCAACAGCCGTGTGCCACTCTGACCTGTACCACCTTTTGGAGGGCATGAATAAAAAGGGCTTTCCAACAGTCCTTGGCCACGAGGCTGCTGGCATCGTGGAGAGTGTCGGATCTGGAGTCACAGAATTTCAGCCAGGTCTGTTCCAAACTGTACTGCAAAGACAATGCTTCAAAAGTTCTGATTGTGATCACGAGTTAAGTTTTTTGTTGTCTGTGACGTCAATGATTTTGAGGTACTCACAATCAGTTGAAGGATTTTTATATCGTATATGTTTAAAAAAAAACGTTTGTCTGCTTTAGATTTGTATGGAAACACTTGTGTAGAACACCTTAAAATGTGGAAATTACCAATGAAATAAACATTTTTTGTTGCATTGTTTTTTTTTTTTCAGGAGACAAGGTCATCCCAATTTTCCTTTCCCAGTGTAAAGAATGTTCTCTCTGTAAGAGTCCAAAAACCAACCAGTGTAAAGAGGGATGGTGAGCCATCATCTACTACCGTTCACTACATATTCTCTTTTTCAAAACATTTTTTTATTTTTTTTATTTTACAAAATTAGTTAATTTAAATTAATTTTGACCAGGACGAGGGTTTGTCAAGAATCAATGTCAGGCGTAGAAACCAGGTTGACCTGTAAGGGGAAGAAGATCCTGCAGTTTATGGGAACCAGTACCTTCTCTGAGTACACCGTGATTGATCAGATTGCTGTGGCCAAGATTGATCCTGGTGCTCCTTTGGACAAAATCTGTCTGATCGGCTGTGGGATCTGCACTGGCTACGGCGCAGCAGTGAATACTGCAAAGGTACGTATTCAAGACTTGTGGAGAAATAATATGAATTGGACATTTTTAGCATGTTCCTTTAGTGTGGATGGAATTTTTTTCTGATTTATCAGTATATACAATAGTCTTAACCATCCAACCAGCAATTATCTTTACCCGCTTATTCCTTTCCGGGTCACGGGGGTCACTGGTGTCCATATCCAGCTATCACTGTGCGAGAGGCGGGGTACACATTCGACTGGTGGACAAGTCCATCACAAGAACACATGGAGACAAACGAGACAAACTTCACTCTTTTACTCACACCTAGGGACAATTTAGAGTTACCAATCAGCCTAATATGCATGTTTTTGGTCTGTGGGGGGAAACTGGAGTACTCAGAGAAAACCCACAAATGCACGGAGAGATCATGCTAACTCTATCCAGAAAGGCCCCCGGCTGGGATTCAATCTGGCAACCTTCTCACTGAGAGGCAACAGCTCTACCATCTGTGTCACCATGCTGCCTAGTCTTAACCTTGGATGGTCTATTCCAGAGTTAATTGTAAACGTGTCTAAAAGAATAAACACATTAGACAAAGAGGGAAGGAGAGAGAGACATTTTGAGTCACAAAAAACTATAGATTTTTATGAATTTAAAGCATGTATTTGGGGACAACAAACGTGAACCTACAGACAAGCAACAAGCCCATGGAAAGAAATGTGTCATAAAGGCTGGTCATCATCCTAAACTTTGCTACTTGGAAGTCTTAGAAAGACGAAAGTTACAAACCATTTTGTGAAAGACTTGAATCAAGATTGACATTCATACAACCTGGTTGACCATAAAGGTTTCTGCTTTTGATAGAAGCAAAAGCTTCTGAAAGTAAAGTGGTTCAGTTTGATAAGTAAACAAAATACTTAGAAAAAAAAATCAAGGTTCATGCTCAATAATCCAGGTAAAAATTCCAACAAAGTTCAGTCAGGTCATTTGGACGGTTTCTTTTTTGTTGAGACTTTTCATCCTTCATCCAAAGGACTTCATCAATCTGAGGAGCCACAAACAAACTGTGTCCCACAAGCAGCAACTCCCATAGTGACACTCCCAGAAATCATCTTATCATCAGCAAACTGGTTGGTCCACTTTGGGATTGTGCTGCGTGTGGCTCCTCATATTGATGAAGTCCTTATTGGAGGAAAGACGAAACGTCTCATCTAAAAAAGAAACCGTCCAGATGACTTGACTGAACTTTGTTGGACTTTAAAAAATGCTTTTCCTTTGTTATTATAAAAAAAACATACATATATTAATATGGAGAATTTAGGATATAGAACTTCTTTATACCAATTGCATTTAAAACAGCAGCTTCCATTAGTTGGAGGCATAACAAATTAATTTTTAATTGTTTTGGGGGGGGATTGTCATAATTCTGGGACTCTTGTACATTATTAGGTTGAACCAGGCTCCACATGCGCTGTGTTTGGTCTGGGAGCTGTGGGCTTGGCTGCAGTCATGGGCTGCAAAGCTGCAGGAGCTAAAAGGATCATCGCTGTTGACATCAATCCAGAGAAAGCTGAAAAGGCCAAAGCGCTTGGAGCGACTGACTTTGTGAACCCCAAAGATCACAACAAACCCATCCATGAAGTGCTAGCTGAGATGACCAACGGTGGAGTGGACTTCTCTGTGGAATGTGTTGGGAAGGTGGAAGTCATGGTGAGGAGAGTTGATGACTTTTTGTACATATTGTAAACCTAAACCATGTTCACTGACTTTGTTGTGTTTCTCCTCACAGCGCAGTGCCTTGGAGTCTTGTGTGCCAGCTTGGGGTGTCAGTGTGATTGTTGGCTGGACGCAATTGTTTGAAGTTGCTATCCCACCAGTTCTTCTCATCTCTGGACGAACTTTGAAGGGCTCCTTGTTTGGAGGTGAGGCAAACATGAATATAACCTTTTACTTAAAAGTTTCTATAGTTTTGTTGCACTTCTTTATACACTTTGCTTGTCAGGGTTTAAGAGCAAAGATGGTGTGACAGGGATGGTTAAAGCCTACCTGGATAAGAAGATACATTTGGATGAGTTCATCACTCACAACATGACTTTGGACCAAGTCAATGATGCAATTGAGCTGATGAAGCACGGCAAATGGTATATTTTTATTATCTTAATTATTTATCAATGGATGTTTTATTTAGATCGGAGTATTTCTGATAATATTTTTACTTTTTTTTTTTTTTCTACAGCATCCGGGCTGTCATGAGTGTCTCACAACAATAAGACCAAAAGACACTTCAGTTCTTGTAAGATTTACCCCAAGATTGTGCATAGAAGTATGTGGAGCATTTACTTAGTTAATTATGTGCAGGTGGTGATTACAAGATTCTGCAGTGCATATATGAACTAAAACTGATGTGTTCATGGAATAAAATTAATCATCTGAGCAGATGGTTTCATAGCAGCTTTGTTTGTTTTCTGTTCTTATTGGGTTTTATGTCCACAGCTCTGTCTGCAGTGACACTTAATGCAATATTAAATTATGTCTTACGTGTCCGTTCGGTTTACACAGGCCAGACTATTTGTCTGTGTTTGTTTAACTTGGTGGTTATTCAGTATCTCTACTTGGATGGAATTCAGCATTTCGTTCCCAGCAGACCTTCTGTCTGTTTTTATTAAACTTTGTGTTTTTAATAATGAAACTATTAAAAGGAAACAAAATGAAATTGTATACTTCTGTATAATAACAGTCACTTTGCCCCCAGAGTTTAGCCCCATCAGAGCTTTAGTCATGTTTTGTTGGATTGTTTGACTCTTGTCAGCCACTCAATGTTTTGCAAGAATAAAACGTTGCAACTTTAGTATCAGATTTTTTTTTATCTGCATTCACATAACTGATGCAAATAGTCTTAAAATAATGAAAGGGATGTAATTCTTGTTAAAATCTCTAAAATAAAGGGCATTGTTCATATAGCTTGTGCAAATAGATAATTTATCTCTGGAAAAAAATGCCATTTTTTTCTACAAACCTGTTAACAATGTCTAATCACCCCAGCTGTTCCCATTCACTAATCAGGCTGCCCACTACTTATAAAGTTTTTGTTTGTTGGTTTGGTTGTTTCATGTTCAGAGTCCACTCCTGGTTTCTCATGATTTTCTCTTTAAATAAACTTTTTTTAGGGTTCCTTCAGCTATCCACTAACACAAGTTATTATAAAATGCCAAGAAAAGCTTTACAAACCAAATCCAAAGTTTAACTGAATCTGAGCCACATATTTTTTTTTAACCATTGACTCATTTGATGAAAATAAATCTGTCGCATCAAACGAGTGATTTAAAATGTGTACAAATTATAATATTATGTCATAGTTTAAATGGGGGGAAAAAAAACACATTTTAAACAGAGATTTGAAATGAAGCACTTCAGTAGTGATTAAAACTTACTGTTCAAGACAACAACAAAAACATGGTTTTATTTATTTAAATGTTAGTTTTCACTTGTGGGACTGGTTTTTTGGTTTGAATTTGACTGTAGAATAAAAAAAAACCCATGAAGATTGAAATGGCTCTGTTAAATCTGAATACAAATGATGATTAAAAAATGTATAAATTTAACTTCTCATTGAGTTTAAAACCTTGGCTTATTTTCCTATTGGTTCTTTAAACACATGAACTCTGTTCTTGTAACCACTATCTGAAATGCCTTTTTTTTTTAAAGTGCAATAATATAAAACAAAGACCAAGCATTTTATTTATTTATTTATTGTTGTTGCAGACCTTTTAACATTAAGTTGCCTCAGAAATCACTGGCACTTCTTCAGATTAAAGATGGGTTGTGAAAACGGGCACATTTTAACAGCAGCTGAGGAGAGGAGGCGTCGAACGAAACAACCAAATTGGACAGAAACTACCGACGACTTATAAGAACAACAAAAGGGTATTAAGCAAGTTTAGATCTGGACTTTGGTCTGATATAAAATCATTTTAAATGAGTAGATTTATAAACCTGAGGAGGATTGTGCAGTCCTGCATCATGGCAACCATAAACTTCATCTTTTACAGTAAAAAAAAAAAACCAACCCCCCCAAAAAAAGCCATCAAAATGTTCTTATAAAACGCAAGATTGTTTTATTTTATTGACAATATTGTGTTTTATTTTTAAAACTTGAAATATTTCAGTTTACAAGCTCATCTCACAGAGGAACCCGAGTTGTTTAAAGAGGGATTCCACCAATAGGACACCTTCATCTGCAAAACAGACCTCCATTGTAGACGTTCAATAAAAAAAATATATATATAAATACTTTATTATTGTTTCTGTTTATTGTGCTGTTCTTTCTGTGGTAATTGACCAACAAAGGATATTTTCTTCTTTGCTTTGTGTCTATTATGTTTCAAGATGTCGAGAAGCAGCAGATCTGGATTTAGAAGTTATTGAGTACGAAATGAGCAAATTCAAGTTCAGATTTGGGTCACACAAAAATATTGTGTGGACATTTTAACTATGAGGTGAAACTAAAGTAGTTTCACACAAACAGGTTAACAATCAGCAAACCTGTGTCAGACACTGGTGGAGAAATTTATCAAAATCACCTACAGGAAGTGTTTTGTGCAAAATGTAAACTAGTTTTGCAATTTAAAGTTGTTCTTACACTGGAAAAATGCTAAATCTGTTGACATAATTGCACAATAAAAGGAATAAATAATGTTTTTTTTTATCATTTGATGCATCCAAGCAACTCCACACTTGGATTAATCATCTTTTTTTTTTTTTTTTTTAAATTAAAGATCAAATCCTTGAACGATGTTGACCTACAACAAAAGGCAAGAGGAAGGTTCTTATTTCGCTCCAGTTAAAGTTGCCCATAAGAAAAGACTTATGCTTCTTCTTGCTGTTGCAACATGAATCCAAGAAATCAAAGAGTAAAATGTTTTTTTTCTTTTTTGTTCTTTATTGACAAGAAAAAAAGGAATGATGAAACAAAACCTTCAGAGACTGAAGCTAAAATTGCAGTTTGTGTGAACCGCTGCAGAGCTGCATCAAATTATCCCAAATCTTTAGGAGGGGAGGGTGCAAAGTTGGTCTCAAGGTAACCACAGAAGAACTGAGGAGTGGGAGGGCGGGCGTAAAATATTTCTGGTAAATTCTTCCCCAGACATCGGAGGAAGAATCCGAGCTCAGAAATTCTAATTGTTTCCATCTGGCGTCTATTTTCAGACATTCTTATTGCAAACTGTTTTTAGTTCTGTCAGATTCTTTCGCTGTTTTCCATAACCGCTCTTTAAATGGTTGCACTGGTTTATTTACTTTTTTAAAAGACAATCTAGTTTAGTTTTTAAAGATAGTCACAATTGTTGAAAGGATGTTCCAGTATTCCTTTTAATCCATTGTCTTTTCATTGATGGGTCACTTGGTGCAACACAAACCAAACAACTGGTTAAACAGCTGGAGAAGAGGGGGCTTCTCAGTAAATCCAGCTGTTTATCGTTGCATTCCAAAACCTCTGTCCAAACTTTATCTGACACCAGAGGGATTTCTAAAACATATTGGACAAATGACATTAATTTGCAAAGTTCTGACACTTTCTTTTAAGCTGAGGCTGAAGGAAGGGCTCAGTCAAACAGATCAGAGAAACATCAACAGTATGAAGTCCTAAATCTGATTAAATTTGATTTAATTTAGTGTTTGCCTTTAGATCAGTTCTATAAAACAGTGGTTTTTATTTTATTTTTAAGCCAAAATCATATCATAAATTCAAGAATTAGTAAATTGTTCATTTCTGTGCTGCTGAGCTGCTTAGTCTGAATAGACATATTTATTTTTTACAAACAGTAACAAGCTAATTCATGATACCCAGTACATCTAGTTGTTATTTTTATTGCCCACCACCTAAAATTAAAGTCAGACAATTATATTTGTTTCCACATCTTTGTGTGTATAACTTCTGAAGTCAAAACAGTTCAAGATGGCTGCTAATACAAGTCACGTACTGAGCTTAAACCATTGGTGGTGGTAGCTTAGCCTGATCCCAAACACCTTTTCAGATCACTAATGCTGTGAACAGTCAACTCGTCTGTAAACAAAAGGTCTCATGATCCACTGGATGGGTTTTAATGATATGATTAAGCAATAATCAGTGGATGCTTTGCAATCATTAACTTTTGAAGCCATCCAAATTCAACATGGCCGCCACGGCTAATCCACATTAGCAAACACAAAAATGGCTGATTTTAATCAATTTTGCATATATTATCCTATAAATGTAGTTGTAAGATTCATGCACAACAGATCGTCTAAATCTGACTCGGTGCACAAGATTTTTGCTTCAAACTTGTACATGTTGGCGTCAACCTTGTTTTGTTAGCAAAATATCTCAAGAGCAACATTTTTGATGAAAACTTCAGGAAGCAGTTTGAATATTTTTAGTCCTCTTTATGGCTAAACTGCATTAAAAAAGATTTGATCTGCTTTGTTTCCATGGAGGAGCGATGATGACGTTCTCCAGCTGGACAAAGATGTTAAAGTCTGTTAATTCATCGGTTCTTCTCCGCAGAACAAATGCAGAACTGCTGCCCTCTATTGAGAACAGAGAACGATAGAACCTGTCCACCAGCTGAGTCCTGTTCTTTTCTTTCTCGTCTCGTTAATTCTTTGAGAATTTGAGTCGTCGTTCAGGTTTAGACACAACTCGGCTCAATTTTTATGAATTTTTCATTTCTCTGTTCGTGTTTTAGCCAAGCAGCTCACAGACAGAGAGCTCTTTGATCAGCCCCCCACCAGTACACAAGAAGAGAACACTGTGAGAATGAAAGACAAAAGAACCAACAGCAGATTCTTCCCAAACATTCTTTGATCTGGTCTGATATGTTTCACCTCCTCTCCTTGTAGGCTTTGAAACACCGTTGTGGTTTGAATCTTTTATGTGGGGGGAAGAATCCGACTGCTGTGAGTCAGATCATGTTGACTTAAATTGTTGCGTACTTGGCAGCACTTTGAATTTAGCGGTGCTGCTTGGGCAGATGATGTCAGCTGCAATGTTTCCCAACAGCTCCCAGCTGTGGAAACTGAGGACTAAAGTCATTCCTCCTTCTTCTGTTTATATTTGATGAGGAAGCCCGGTCTCGAGGGAATTGAACATTCACAATAATTTGTTATTTTCTGTATAGAGCCTACAAATACTGTTAATAATAAAGTTTATCACTTGCCGCTAACCAGTCAGACAGATTTGGCGTGATATTAGCTGACTGTCAGTAACGAGTTTTCTAAGCTCTGCACATTAGGGGAACGATGGTGCAGAGGTTAGAGAAGATGAGCCTGCTCGAAGGGTCAAATGTCTCTGCCTGTCTCCGCCTGCTCTTGACACTGTGGACCATGCCATTTTATGTTATAAGCTCTCAGAAATTGGTTTCTCAACACAACATTGGTTGGTTCTCTATCTTTCAGATTGGAGGCAATGTGTTCAACAGGCTCCTCCAGTTATTTGTCATGGTGTACCACAAGGCTCTGTTTTAGGACCCACCCTCTCTACAATCTACACAAGTAATGGTCAGAGCATCCTTGATAGGATACAGGGAGCAAGGCCCTTTACCTCCCTCGGTCACCCAGTCCTCTGCTCCACACAGAGGGCTGTAGTAGCTCGGTGGTCTGTGGTTGCGTCAGGTAGGGCATTCGACAAAAAAAATCAAGTGCCAAGTGCACTGCAAAAACAGCACTACTTGAAAATATTGTGTATAATGTGACCAAATTTTCTTATTCTAAGAAAAGAAATCTACCAATGAGGTAAGCAAAATTTGCTTGGCTAGAATTCTTAAAACTAGCAAATTAATCAAAAATACTTTTTGCCTTTAAAACTAAATTGTCCAAAGTTAAAGAAAATCACTCTTTTTACAAGCAAATATTACTTTCCTTAAGAAACATTTTCTTAGAATGAGATCACCACCCACTCCGCTTCATTAATCAGATTTTAAGATTTTGATGCTTCATTTAAGCCAATTTGACTTATAATAAGGAAAGAGACATGAGAATTATGCACTTTTGAACAAGCTGAATTTAAGAATTATTTGTTTATTTTTAGGATTTTTACACCTTAATTTAAGTGTTATGTCCCCTTGATTAAGCTGTTTTTAAGATTTTTTTTAATGCTTCATTTAAGAAAATGAGACAAAAAACAAGGAAATACACACGATGTGTAGAAAAACGTACCCAAATTGCGAATTGTGTGCTTGATTTTTGTGAGGTAGCTCGCTGTGGCAACCCCGGAAGAAACGAGCAGGTGAAAGAGAGAAGAAACTTCTAACGTGCACAAGAAAACTTTAGCAATAACTGTTGAGAGTAAACTCTGCCTGTTAGCATAATAATTCATGACCCACTGGACAAATACTAAAACTCTGAAAGTAGTCATATAAAACCCAAAAGATTTAAGTTTGAAAAAAAAAAATACATTTTGAAGTGGGGCTTCTGTTGAAAGGTTATAAATATTTTATCAGAGGACCTGACTTAACTTTTTTTTAGATTTTGTCAGCTCTTTAAATGGTTTTATTCTGACTAGACTAAGCTTAACAGCTAGTAAATAAGTGGATTGCTGCCATTTTAAAACATCCAAAACAAAAGCATTATTGAGCATGAACTTTGGTGGTTTGAACCTCTTTGGCCATGGCTGCCCCAGAGGAGTTGACGGGGTAGAGGGCGGACTCCAGAAACCATCTTATCACCATCAAACTGTTGGATCAGTATGCAAGTGTGCTGCTTGCGGGACTGCATTTGTTGTGGCTCCTCGGATTGAAGAAGTCCTTTGGATGAAAGACAAAACGTTTCAACAACAAACAAACAAACAAACAAAAAAAACGTCCAGAGGACCTGACAACTTAATTCCAAAGATTCATAATGGTTCTTCCAAACTTATCTTAAATTTGCCGTCATTAATGTAACATTTACTATTCTGGAAAAAATGTAATTTCCTAATGGAAATGCCCACAAGCTGTACAGGAAGTACTGGAACCAGCTGCTCACATTGCATTTGCAAAATTCCATAACTGGGTAATGTTAAATTCACAATATAAAGTTTGTAGGTTTTAACGTGAACCGCTAGGAAATTTTAAACGCTCAGTCATTTTAAGGCAGCAGCAATCCATTTTGGTCTAGACTGTTCAGACTAGCCATTAGCTCATCAATCCAGTTGAAATGGAATAAACTGGTGTTGCACACCTATCTACAAGAGCTGCATTCATAGTTAACATTATCTTGTTATAGTAGTTTAATTTATCCTTTTATCAGACATTCTGAAATAAAATCCAGTGGAAGAAGTTGCTTTTACTCTTTTTTTATGTATAAAGTTTGTGTGCTTTATTTTCTGAAACTGTAGGAATTCAACACTTTTCTTGCTTAAACCCAAAGAAAATGTTCAACTTTATGGAATTTCAGACAATAAAATGATCCTAAAACAGCTATTTGTAATACCTTTATAGATATGTTGCTTCATATTGTACAGTACAGCTAAGTAAGAAGGTAGCAAACTGGATTTTTATTACCAGTTCATTGCAGTTTCAACCAACACAAGGACACAGCCATGTTTGTGACGATTGCACAAGAAACTGATATTTAGTGAGGTTACAGTCACAACAGAACGAGGTGGGAGTAGAAACTGCGTCAGGTGTGGACTTAGTCCTCCCTGGAGGCCTTCAGCTTCTGTTGTCGCCCACTTTGACTGAAGGCCGGTTCATTCAGCCACGTTTGGGATCAATTCAAGGAGAAACTGAGCCGCACCGAGCTACAGAACAGTCGTTTATTACTGCATCAGAAGTACAAAGAGAACAACCTGAAAATGCTGAAATAAACCGGTGATGGCAGAGTGAGGTGAAGCTTTAGATAACCAACAAGTTTTAGTTCCAAGACTCACGTGTTTGGGCTCAATCTGCTACACTGGAGCTGCAGGAAACGAGCAGCACCACAGGAGGGTTTCTGGGAGCGGACCGACAAGTTCACATCTTTAAATCAGTTCTCACTGCTGCTGATGAAAACACAACCAGGATGCTCATTTTGGATCTCATCAGGTCAAATCAGCACAAACGGGATGTGATCTGTGAGGAGTAACTTATTGCTGTTCATTTAGCAAAACTTTAGCATCAAACCGTGTAACTGCTTCAAACGTTATTTATTTATTTATTTTTATCTAAATTGTGAGTTTGTAATTTGTGAAACTTGTGAGACCCATTTCTTGAAACGCTTCTGTGTTTTCTCGTCGCTGATTCTTTCCTGCCGGTCTCAGCAGGTGAGCAGAGGCCGACAGGAAGTGGAGCTGCGTTCATCGGGTTTGCTCTGAGCTCCACGCACAACAACCAGCCAAACTGTTTTTATTAAACAAACCAAATCTCATAAATACTCTTGTATTTCCTCCAGAGGATAAAGACTTTAACTAATAAAGCATCAACATCTTCTATAAGACACATTCAAGTACTTCCATTTAGTTAAGAGGAACCAGTACGAAACTAAGAACCATCAGAGCTGCGTTCACGAGTTCTCCGAGCAGTTCCGTCAGATTTCAAATATGCGTGTTGCTGTGTCTGGAGAAGTCCAGTTGGTGGTGCACTGGTCCAGCCTACATCTGGCTCAGGAAGTGAGCGCGGCCGCTCTCCTCCAGGCGGCGGGTGAGGATCTCACAGCCGGTCTCTGTCACCAGCAGGGTGTGTTCGAACTGAGCTGACCGCTTCCCGTCTCTGGTGACCGCCGTCCAGCCGTCGGGCCACGTCTCGTCTTGCCAGCCACCTGAGACACACACAGACACACACACACACACTGAGGTGATGGCTTTAGCAAACACACTATCAATTAAACACAGCAGAGAAAATGGATCCTCTGAGCAGCGATGTGTTTGATTCCTGTGAGGTGCTGAGTGTTTTAGATCTGGTGTTCTCAAACTTTTAGGGTCCAGGGACCCCCTCATAACATGTTTATTAAATAATCTTCCTCAACTTGTCTCTTTTAATGCAATGGAAATATATGTGTAACATAAATACTTAAGACCTGTTCTTTAATAGTGTTAATACAATCTTTATACTTTTAAACATGGGGTATTTTTCATTCAAGACACTTAAATGATAAAAATTTTATATTATAGGATATAAGATATTATTTATAATATCTACAATATTTGATATTTATACTAACCACAGTCTAAAATGCTCTCCTTAAATAACTTATGAGAGAAAATTAAGTTTAAATGATCTTAAACGCAGACTGGGGTGGTGGTGGGTGGAGGGTGTGCTTCAATTATAGGGGCATCACTCTCCTCAGCCTCCTGGTAAGGTTTATTCAGGAGTACTGGAGAAGTGAATCCGATCACTGGTCGAACCTCAGATCCAAGAGGAACAATGTGGGTTCCGTCCTGGCCATGGAACACTGGATTAGCTCTTTACCCTCACTAGAGTCCTTGATGAGTCATGAGAGTTTGCCCATCCAGTCTACATGTGTTTTGTGGACTTGGAGAAGGCATTCCACAGTGTTCCTCGGGGTACACTCTGGGGGATGCTCCATGAGTATGGGATTGGAGGTCCGTTATTACAGGCCGTTCAGTTCCTATACAAGCGGTGACAAGTTTGGTTCACATTGCCAGTAGTAAGTCAGACCCCTTCAGGGTGGGAGATGGACTCTGACAGGGCTGCCCGTTGTCACAGATTCTGTTCATAACTTTTATGGACAGAATTTCTCGGTGCAGCCAGTGGGCGGAGGGTTTCCGGTTCGGTGGCCTCAGGATTCCACCTCTGCTCTTTGCAGATGATGTGGTCTGTTGGCATAAACGTGCCATGATCTTCAGCTCTCACTGGAGTGGTTTGCAGCCGAGTGTGAAGCGGCTGGGATGAGAATCAGCACCTCCAAATCTGAGGCTGTGGTCCTCAACCAGAAAAGGGTGCATTGCTCTCTTTGGGTCGAGGGTGAGGTTCTGCCTCAAGTGGAAGAGTTCAAGTATCTCTGGGTTTTGTTCACGAGTGAGGGAAGAATGGAGCGTGAGATTGACAGATGGATTGGTGCAGCGTCTGCAGTATTGCAGACTCTGTACCGGTCCGTTGTGGTGAAAAGAGAATTGAGCTGTAAGGCAAAGCTCTCTTGTTTACTGGGCGGTCTACGTTCCTACCCTCCCCTATGGTCATGAGCTCATGAGGTAGTGACCGAAAGAACGAGATCACGGATACAGGCGGTTGAAATGAGTTTCCTCCGCAGGGTAGCTGGACTCCACTTAGAGATAGGATGAGAAGTTCAGTTATACGGGAGAGAACTCGGAGTAGAACCGCTCGACTCCTTCCCGTCGAGAGGAGCCAGTTGAGGTGGTTCGGGCATCTGGTAAAGATGCCCCCTGGGTGCCACCCTAGGGAGGTGCTTCGAGCATGCCTAACTGGGAGGAGACCCCGGGGAAGACCCAGGACACGCTGGAGAGACTACGTCTCTCTGTTGACCTGGGAACACCTTGGAATCCTCCCAGAAGAGCTGGAACAGGTGGCTGTGGAAAGAGATGTCTGGGCCTCCCTGCTCAAGCTGCTGCCCCGCGACCCAACTTCAGAACAAGCAGAAGATAATAGATGGATTTTAAACCCTGGATGCACTTCAGAGAAATGCAATATGAGAATCTAGGATACGGTTTTCTACGAACTTTCTGAACATTTTCTCACCATTAATGCAAGAAATACACAAATTAGTCTTTATTTCTAAAAATAACAATAATTTCAATACTTGGAAATCTTTACAGCTTTATAAGAGGTTGGTGTCTGAGGAAACATTTTGCTTTCTTAATAACTGAACGTGTATTTCAGATATAGGGCTTTATACACAGAATTTGTTTCCAATTAGCACAAGTGAGCCATTTCTTAGAAATGCTGAGAAGTTTTCTTAACACTTGGAAGCAATTTCTTTGCACAATGTCAGTTATATTTGTTTTAATTAATTTATGATGATACACACATGTGGCATCTACTAGGTTCTTATGCAACTAAAATAGCTTCACTTAGTTTTAATTTGAAAAGAAAGTTTGGGTTATTTAACCCGAGTTCCCGTGAAGGAGTGTTAAAAACATGTTAAAGTATCACGAACATGAGATAATTTAAAACAAATTTAAAGTTATTGAGGGAGAATTGAGTTTGTTTGATATTAAATCACTGTAAGCAGCATTAATACAATAAAATACGGAATTCTATTATCTGCACTTAATTTCAATTGAAAGAAAAATCAGTGGAACAAACAGCCTGTAGGGGTTCCTAACTCTAGTCCTTGAGGAACACCATCCTGCATGTTTTGGTTCCCTGCTCCGACACCTGATTTGAATAAATGGGTGATTAACAGGCTTCTGCAGAACACGAGGAAGTAATTAAATCACTGAATCAGGTGTGTTGGAGCAGGGAAAAAAGTACTGGTAAAACATGCAGGATGGTGTTCCTCAAGGATCCTTGTTGGGCACCACTGCTTTTTAGTGTAGAATGTAGAGGTTTATTATAAATAAGCTCAGGAGGATCAAGTTTAACCCTCATACAGGTCTATCAAAACATTACAGAACTGACAAATAGCCTATATATATTTTTTTATATATAACTGATGCTTTTGGGTTGCTTAAAATGAAACACTGCATACAAATGATCTTAAAGACCACGGCACTGAGACCCCCCCCCCCCATCGCTCATGAAGAGCTTCTTCTCACCTTCACATATCATGGGCTCAATGGTGAACACGTGACCCGGCTTCATGACTCCAACAGCTTTGTTTTCTGCCAGATTCAAAGTCGACAGTAACCAGAGACGTGAGGACACACGAGCAGAAACTTTCAGAGCCCTGATGGCGGCAGCTACTCACTGGCATAATGCGGCACGTTGGGAGCGGTGTGAAAAAGTCTATGGATGCCGTGACCGCAGTAACTCCGCACCACAGAGAAGCCGTTAGCCTGAGCGTGTTTCTGGATGATGTTGCCCAACTCTCTGTAGCGAACGCCGGGCTTCACTGAGGAGTAAACAAATAACAGTTTTTTAATTTCCTCACAAATACTGCCAACTGTAACGCCGTTTTCTGTTTGCTTTTAACTGTGAAGAACTGAGACGCACATTCACGTCTCCCTGAGCTCTTCAGAAGTTCAACCCGCTGTTTCTCCTTTTAATTATTTCACACTTGAAAATAAAAGGTCATATGGATGAATAATTTAGTCTTTCAATCAAAATATGTGACATTTGTGGGAGATTTAGAACCCAGTCAGTAAAGTTCAGTCAGAAATATTTAACACATTCAAACAGCTCATGACTAAACTTATTTTCATTTGAATAATTTGTTGCATAAAGATTGTCTGCATGGTCCAAATGATACAAAATGTTGATGAACATTGGAGAAAAAGCAACAGTATCCAATAAAATTTAAAGATTGTCCTTCTCAGTTTAATATGAGGTCAATATTTTGGCTATTAAAGAATATTTTAGCTTTTTTTTCTTAAACTAAAGAAAATGCACTTCCTGCTGTAATGTAGTGAGACGAGTGCCAAATGACTGCTGATGTTTGAAGTAGGGATGCAGCGATCCATTTTTTAACTTCCGATCCAATACCTAAATCTGAATATTGTCCCATACCGATCCAGTTCCAATATCATGATCAATATTGATTTTATATGAGGCTGTAATAATCTCCTCTCAAGTACAATTTGTACAAATCTATGCATGCATGTCCAAAAAGGTAACTTGAGGGAAGTTTTTATTAATGTTGGATAAATTTTAAAGTTGGAATTAAATTCTGCTAACACAAAATATGTTTTTTATTCCTAGCTTTAAAGTGGATATTAAGGTGATTAATTTAAGTGATTGTTTAGTTATTTTATTTTTATTTTTTTAAATAAGAGGCAGGTATAAGATTTTTTTTTTCTTTTTTCTGCACTCTTTTCATTCAATGTCTTCTTTTTGATGTTTTTTTTTATTTTTATTTTGTTTCTTTGAAATGAATGAATACATGAATAAAATAAAATGTTAAATGGCTTTAAACATCTGCTAAGTTCATGCCATAAACCAACAGACATGTTCCTGTTTTTAGTATTTTACATCACTTTATAATGTAGCTGTTTATGTTTTTAATATATATAATTTTCAA